CATCTTGGAAGAAGAAGCAGCCATGTTCACCGGCGACAATGTCTTGGGTCAAGGCACCGCCGTCTTCGAAGATCTGGCGACATACATGAATTCCCTCGACCGTATGAGCACACAATTCGAGAAACGCGCATATCCCGGCCACGGACCCGTCATCGAGGACGGCCCGGCGAAGGTGCGCGAGTACATTTCGCACAGGAAACAGCGCGAGAAGCAGGTCTTGGATGTATTGGCGAGTGATGGCGAGAAGAAAGCATGGACTTCGATGGAGATTGTCAAGATCATTTATAAGGACTATCCTGAGGCCTTGTGGCAACCGGCTGAGAGGGGGATTATACAGATCTTGGAGAAGTTGGTGAAAGACGGTCAGGTTAGAAAAGTTGGAGAGAAAGAGGAGGTCAAGTGGGAGTTGACTGGCGATAAAGCTGCGTCGTCTTTGTAGCCTCATGAAGTGCAGGTAAAGCGATTCAATTGATTGGACCTAGACAGCATTTTGAGCTATTGACAACGCACAATTGGAATCGTGTCGCCGCGGAAGAAGTTGCAATGTGGAGGCTTAGATGAAGCTTCAACAGCGAATGGAATAGAACCAACGAGAACTCGACATCAACTTGTATTAGATGGTTTTCTCGTGTTTGTGTCCATGTTTCTCTCGTAGGACATTTCGAAACATTCAAAGGTTAGATGAAGATGATGAACCCGAGTTGAAGGGGGAGAAATAACAACCCCCACCCCGCCCCCACATATCCTAGCTAGCCCCTGCTAGTGAGGCGTGACGCGTCCAAGCTCCCTTGCCTCCGCATCTCTGGAGAGCAGCAAAGACACTTGGGACACTTCCTTGTTGAGATCAACAATGCTCTGATACTTTGTTTTAACATCATAGTTGTCAAAAATCTAGAGACACGTATTGGACTGTCCACAAAATTGTCTGAGGCTCATACATGATGGTCCGCATCCTCACACTTCCGCTTCTAGCGCCGGTTGCTGCGGCCGCTCTCAGCAGCGGGAATGCTGGAGACAAAGTGACAGACCAGAAGAGGATCGGAATCATAGGCAAGTTCAATTTTTTCGTCCAGAATTGCCACACAACCTCAACATCACATAGACAGACGAGGCTAACAACGAACAGGTGCCGGAGCAGCAGGCTCATCCGCCGCCTACCACCTCGCCCAATACGCTCGTGACGCCGACATACCCACCCAGATCGATGTTTACGAACGGTCGGCTCATGTTGGTGGTCGTTCTACCACTATCAACCCATGGGATCACCCCCATTATTCGGTCGAATTGGGAGCCTCCATCTTTGTCGAGGTCAATCACATTCTGGTCAATGCGAGCCGTGACTTCGGGCTCCGAACTGCAACACGAATGGTTCATGACGATAAGGGAATGGCTGATCTAGGTATATGGAACGGCAAGGAGTTCGTATACACAATGACGGATGAGGGCGGATGGTGGGACATGGCGAAGCTGTTCTGGAGATATGGATATGCGCCCGTGAAAACGAACTCACTGATGAAAGACACGGTGGGGAAGTTCTTGAACTTCTACGAAAAGCCACTGTTTCCGTTCAAGAGCTTAAGCAAAGCGGTACAAGATGTAGGGTTAATCGAGGTGACGGGGCTGACGGGGGAGCAATTTCTCAAGAACAAAGGCGTCGGGGACCTCTTCGCGAATGAGATCATACAAGCCAGCACGCGCGTGAACTACGCCTCGAACCTGGGCTCTATCCATGGTGTAGAGACAATGGTCTGCATGGCCGCTAACGGAGCCATGCAAATTGATGGCGGCAATTGGCAAATATTTGACCGCATGTTATCGTCGTCGTCGAGCATTGCTACTCACCTCAACGCCACAATTACACACATTTCTAAACAGACGAACGGGACATACGTGCTCACCTTCTCCAACGGCGGCACCAAAACCTTCGACCAAATCATCCTCGCATCACCTCTTCAATTCTCCCACCTCGTTATCGACCCTGCCCCCGCTCATGTCCCGGACCAAATTCCCTACATTAAATTACACGTCACCCACTTCGCAACACCGCACAAACTCTCACCTTCTGCCTTCAACCTTCCCCCAGACGCACAAGTTCCACAAGCGATACTCACCACGATCCCCGCCGAAGAACCCTACCCGCACAACGATACCACATATAATGGTAGCCCAGGCTTCTTCAGCATATCGATTCTTAAATCACTCATTAACCCACTCTCTGCCGTGCCTCGCCAGGAATATGTCTACAAAATCTTCTCCGACGAGCCCGTGTCCGCCGCTTTCCTCTCAAATTACCTCGGCGTGCCCGTCACCGACGCCGAAATTGAAGGAACGGCGGATCCGGACGCGAACGTGAGCTGGTTTCACCACAAGCTGTTCCACTCGTACCCACACGAGTTCCCGCGGGTGACGTTTGAGGAGTTGAAGCTCGACGATGGATTGTGGTACACGAGTGGGATGGAGAGTTTCATTAGTACCATGGAGACCAACGCCTTGATGGGAAGGAATATTGCAAGGTTGGTGGTAGATAGGTGGCTTGAGGAAAAATTAGAGGGAGCGGAAGATGTGTTTGAGGGGTGGCGGTATGAAGGCTTGCAACAACCCGCTGGGCAGCAGCAACCATTTCATGCAAAGCTCTGAGGCGCAACTAGAGACGGAGTAAGAATGTCAGTCGTGCATGAACGATAAGTCTCATTCATGTATGTCATTGTATGCCCGAACCAAAAAAGGGAAGAATTAACACAAGAAAGTAAACCAAAAAAAACCAAGATGCTAAACCAAGCATTCCGATACGTCCGTTCGTCTAACAACAAACAATTCATCGCCCCGCCCCACTCCCTTCACGCTGCACGCCCGATTCACCCCGGGGATTCCGCCGCGCATATGGACTAAAAAACCACGCTACGGCTACATAACAACGGGAACACCTGGACCGCTGTGGGCGCTCCGGCTAAATTGGTTTAATTCTGATAGCTCACGAGCCCTTTTTCGAGGGCGTGGCATTTCGGATCGTGAAGGGATTCTGTGAGATGATGATGCGTGCAATGGTGGGGTTTTCTGTGATTACCGTGACCCCCACTCCCCGCCTTGTCTTCCCTGTCTTGTTTCGAGTATAAATGTCTGGGCGTTTGCTGCTCGATTTCCGAAACTTTTGTAACTTGTGTTTGGTTTCGTGATTGGCTGGTGCCTTTGTTTTCTGGTTCTTAGTCTGATCATACTTGATTTATGATCGTTGCGTACAAATATCTAAGAAACGAGACGGATAACACAAAGGAATAAGCGCGGCTTGAAGAGTAAGAAAGTAGCAACTAAGACTTAAGAGAAAGACAGCACAATAAAACGAAGCAAGTAACATCAAAACCACGTCCTAGTTTTTGAAGCAAGAGGAGTACCACACACAATAGACACAAACTACAACATCACGACAGAAATGGCGGACAACGAGAACCCAAATCCCCTCTCGCAAGAGGAGATCCAGCACTTCATGGAACACGGCTGGGTCAAGTTATCCAACTGCTTCACGCGCGAGCAAGCAGACAACCTGCAAGCCACGCTCTGGACACGACTGGGAATGGATCCAAATGACATGTCTACATGGTAACTTGCAACCGCATCTCCATCTTCACCCCCTTTTTTCTCTCAACCATTCTGTCCAACTAACCCCTTTCCTTTCCTCCCCAGGCACACCGAACGCACAAACATGCCCTGGCACCAAACCTTCACCGTCTCCGACTTCGCGCCCAAAGCCTGGGGCGCCATCCTCTCTCTCCTAGGCCCGCCCTCCGCCATCGACCCTTCCGTCTCCGCCTGGCGCGACAGCTTCATCGTCAACCTCGGCACCCCCTCGGGCCACAACCAAGTCATCAAGCCGCAAGACCTTCCGGGGTGGCACGTCGACGGCGACTTCTTCGTCCATTACCTCGACTCCCCCGAGCAGGCCCTCCTCATCATTCCTCTATGGAGCGATATCGCACCAGGCGGCGGCGGCACCATGATCTGCCCGCGCGCCATCGACGTCGTGGCCAAGCACCTGCACGACCACCCGGAAGGAGTCTCCCCGCGCATGACGCCGCGCGCGCAGAACCCGACCTTCGAGCAGGAAAAATCTGGACTCACGTGGTTCAACGAGCTCGCAGCATCGATGCCGGACGACGCCTTTGTGGAAGCGACCGGGAAAGTCGGCGACGTGTACTTCCTGCACCCGCTGATGCTGCACTCGGCGAGCAACAACCAGACGAGGAGCGTGCGCGTCATCACGAACCCGCCGGTGAGGATCAGAGAGCCGTTTGTGTTTGATAGGAAGGACGGGAAGTACAGCGTTGTGGAGAGGAAGACGTTGAAGGCGCTGGGGAAGGAGAGGCTGGAGGGGTGGGAGATTAAGGGGGAGAGGCAGGGGATTGTGCCTGAGCGGGTGAGGATTCAGGAGGAGATGAAGAGGAAGGAGGAGGAGAGGTTGAGGAAGTTGAAGGAGGTGGCGGAGGGTGCAGGCGAGGTTAAGAGCGAGCAGGTGGCTTCTGCTGCTTGAGGGTTTTCTGTTAGAATGTCGTTTTGTGAGTGAGGCATGAGTGTGTGCGCATACATTATTTGGAGTTTTTTTTTGCGAATCGTGTAGTTTTCATCTCTCATATTTGCATGAACGTAGATGCCAAATAATACAAACACATCTTTTTGTTCCTGCGCAAATATACTTGAAATTTCCTAGGGAAAGGAAAGCACATTGCCATCGATCGAGTTGTTTTGGACGACCAAACACACACACACGCAAGAACTACTAAAAATATACCTAGCTACATAGCCATCACCCTTCATGAATAACAATTTTCATCCCGTCACCAAAAAAGAAAATAAAACTCATCCAAAAAATGAACATTCAGATTTATTCCCCTTACTCCCTACTATATACATACTTTGTCTGTCAGAACCAGCAAAAAAAAGCGAAAGCCCTCCTCACTCACTGTGTTGTTGTTCAGCAGGGCAGCGAGGACAAAAAAAGAAATTTCAAACGACGTGTGCATGGTTCGAACATGCGCTCCCGAAGGAACTAGATGCCTGAATCGGATGAATTCAAGTCTAGCGCGTTAGACCACTCCGCCAACACGCCTTGTTTGATTCGATGTTGTTTCCATCATTTATTAATATTATATAGCATCGTTAGCCATGGTGAGAAGACGCGAGAGTTGGTGGATGGATGGCTGATGTGAATCTGACAAGTGGCATTGGTGGATTCGGTAGCGGTGTGGGGGGAAAGCGGGGATGGATGGATGGATGGCTGGATTGGGCCGGGCTGGGCCGATTTTTCATGAGTGTGCGAGGGCAGATGGTTGGATGGTTAGGGGGCTTGTGGGTCTCGTCTCGTCTCTTTCGGCTCGAGTCTGCCTATGGAGTTTTCGAGTCTTGAAACCTTTTAATCGAGCATTTCTCTTCCTGCAGATGAGTTTTGGGATTAAGCTTATCTCGTTATTTATTCGCATTTTGGTTATGTTATTCTCTGGTTTTCTTCTGAGATTTGTCTACTCTACTAGCAATAAAGACGATTCGAACACATCAATTCGCGTCTAGATAACAAATACGCATCGCAACATTCAGATTATGCAATGTTTAAATCATGTCAGTTTGACTATACCATTCCAGTTGAGAGACATGCGTATATTTTTTTGTACTTTTATTTATGTATAGGAGCAACCGAAATATTAACCAAACACAAAACAAACACCAAAAACAATAACGAACAAAAAAGCAATGAAACAACTAAAACATTCAGGTATACGAACGAAACCAAAAAGCCAACCGTCGTAATCAAAATCCAGGAAACAAGAAATGTCTCGTTAGATCATTCGCTGAAAACAGGGGGGTATAAGATACTCATCCAGAAGGAGAGGAGAGCAAAAAAGAAAGTCGTGAAAAAGTCGTAGACAGCATAAATCGTTTCTTGCACAGCAAAAAAAAAAAAAAAAGAGAGAGAGAGAGAGAGAGAAAAGGACACAGAAGGAAACAAAAACAGAAACGACATGGACTCAAAAACAGAAGAAAAACTGTAGGAAAAGCCAAACCTCACCCGACTTCTTCATACGTTTCGTTACGTTCATCGCCCCACAGGCTCATGCCGCAGCGGCTCTTCTCCTAAACCCAAACAACGACCCCTTCTTCTTCTGCTGCTTCCCGCTCTGCACAGGAGCGCCAGGATAATACCCTGCCTCCTTGGCCGCGGCGTTCAAGCGCTCCGCCAACTCGTAGTCCCACGGAGTGGTCCAGTTACGCTGTGGGATCTCGCCCAACTTGGTGCTGTCCGACGCGAATGTATATGATGAAGGCGTCAGTTTGTCGAGTCTGCGTCGTGCGACAGCAGCAGCGGTGATGGGTTGTGATGGGAATGGAGCGGTGTGCTTTTCTGGTTGAGAAGGGTTGGTGGACAGCTTTTTGGGGGGTGTAGATGGGAGAGGCATCACTTCATCGAGTTTGCTAGGAGACACCACCATTGTAGGCCCTTTCGTGTTGGAAGATGCAGTTTTCTTCTTGCCACCGCTGCTCATTTTAGGGGCTGGCGCTTTCACAGCGAGTGGAAAGGGATCTTTGGGCGAGTACTGTGGAAGTGGCGATCCTAATGGTGAGTCCATGGGCGGTGGTGAACTGAGCGAGGACCCCACTGCAGTCAATTGGGGTGATTTCACTGAGGAACTAGAGCTACTCGACGTGGTTGAATTTTTTCTTGGGTTTTTGGGTCGCACCATCACGAGCTGCTTTTGATTGGAGTTTTTCACGGATGCGCGGGCAACGATGGGGCCATTCACTCTTGGACGCGACGCAGCATGCCGTTTCTTTTCAGTTTGCTCTGATGACTTGGATGGGGCCATGCGACGGAGGGAGAGCTGTGACTGGCTCAGGCGATTGTGGAGCTGATTCAATGATTCTACTGCTTCTCTGCGCGAAGCATCAGACAGACTAATGAGCGATTTGTAGTTTAGATGAAAGCTGCTGCTTTTGGGGTTGCAGTTCAAGAAGGTCGCAATGATGCGAACCAAGCCTGTGTTCAATTTGATCAGAGTCTCAGCAAGACTCGCATGTGCAATTGCTACGATAATGGTCAGAGAAGGGTAGCTGCGTGAATTTGATGTTGTTATTACTCACCATCACCCTTTGCAAATACTTGACCTTTCTCCCCGTAGCCTCGCTCGTACCTGTCCCTCAACTCGAGCGGACCTCTCTTAAGGCTGTTGCTTAGTTGGGATTCGGCCTCTGAGGTGACGTCTCGCACGTCTCCTGAGCCCTTGTGTTTGTTTTTCTTTCGCTTCCTTCTCTCCTTGAGCCTCTTGAACACATTGAGGCCATCGGTAAAGGCGAGGATGATGTTTTGCACGCAACTTGAGACCTCAGCCTCTCCATAATTCTGTGTCGTAACAACCGCCATTTTCTATGATATACAGATAAAAGTACAAACCAACAAAGGATAGGATGGAAAAGGAAGAAGAAGAAAGGAAAAAACGAAAAGATTTGTGCGCTTTTGAAGGCTGGTAAACGAAGGAGACGGTGCCAGGGCAAGAGGATGAAGGTAGAGTCACACAGTCGCTTTGAGTTTAGCTTGTGAGATGGCCCATGAAGCGGACAACGCTCCATAGTTAACCGTTGCCCTCATCCCCGTCTGGCGGACCGGGTCCCTGGATGCCTGCGGCTGCAACTGGACTCGCTTGGGACCTGGCGTCGCACGAGGCTGGCGCATAGCCGCCCATCTGCTGTCTTGGGCCTGTCTCTGCCTGTGACTGGCTGTCGACGTGCATGCATATCCCCGCACGCTGCCCAAACACGGCTTAGCGTGCGCTTGATAAAACCACCACGATAACAAACCAAAAAGGCCCAGTTGAGTTGTCGTTTGCATGGGGCGGCCCAGGGTCAAAATGGACAGGACAGGACAACACGAAGCACGAATTGATGAATCAATCTTCATTGACTGGCCGCTGCTGCTCTATTCTGATTTCGCTCCTGCCCTGCCTCCCACGTGGCGGTGTGACTAGGCAAGAGCGCGTCAGATGTATTGATCTGTCCAGCAACCCAACGCTGCTAGTCCGCTTGGATTCGCTTCATCCATCATGGTAGAACTGTATTTTCATCTTCTACACGTAAGTAGTCACCTCATCCGCTGTAACTTACTTGTAGAATCTATGTACAGGCACCGAAAGAAACCCAGCCCAAAAACGCCACGCTATGCATAATCAAAGTGTACCCCTGCCCTTCATTGACCGTCATCATCTGCATCCTCGACCGTGACAGTGCGCCTGGTCAAAGTCCCATCTTCGGTGCTGCTACTTCCTGCCACCGCGGTGCTAGAACCCTCTGTCTCTGTATCGCCTCCGGCATTGCCAAAACTCCAACTCGAGTCCAGCGACCGGGGTGTTGCCTGAAGCCCAGCAGCCGCCGAAGATCCAGTCGCAATAGGCCCAGGTTGTGACGTTGCTACCATTGGCCTCAACGTCCATCCTTCAGGGAGCACCACTCCATCCGGTAAGCCAGCATCGCCGTGTCGGAGAACAGGTCCATTGGGTGAATACGCTTGTGGACTCACGTGGCCGATCGTAGGCAGTGTGGGGTTCAAAGACGCCACAGGCGGCACCTCCAGCGCATTCGTTCCTGGGATACCTGATGTCTGCTGAAGGCGGTTCAACTCAGCTAGAAGACTATGGAAATGTTGCAACTGAGTGTGCTGCACGCTAAGTTGGCGCATGGATTCAATGATGTTCTGCTGGATACGCAGGATATCCATTTGTATATCTGAGGGGTGCTGTCCGACAGCACCAGGTATTACAGGAACATGGATCTGTGGCGGTGGAAGACCCTGTTCCTGCTGCTGTAGATTCGGGTATTGATTCTGCGCCAGCTGTTGTGCCAAATTGGCTATTGCGTTATTATTGTTATTTATGTTATTGGCATTTCCCGGTGGATTAGGAGGCACGCGTAGATTTCCCAAGGCAATTCGTACAGGACCGAGATTGAATACCCGTAAATTACCAACTGGACGATTTCCTTGCGCTCCCGGCGCAGGTTGTGCTGCTGGTCCAGGCTGGCCGGGTTGTCCAGCCGCTGGCAAGTTATCCAATCCTCCTCCTAAAATACCCTGGCCGCCGCCCGCATTTGGTTGGTTTTGTTGGCCGGCATTGTGTGGATTGGCCTGAGTCGTAGGCTGCGAGAGAACTGAACGTCGGCATGTCGGGCAAACTTGTTGCCTTTCAAGCCAACTTCTCAAGCAGCTGAAGTGAAGGATGTGTCCACAAGGTAGCTTCTTTGGTCTCTGTCGCTCGTCTATGCGCCGACCTGGTTGTGCACCGGCTGCTCCTGGAGGGACCCACAGCCGCATTTCCTCGCGGCAGACGATGCATGTGTTTTCTCTTTCCAACTCTTCGGCTGTAGCGTCCGGGTAGCGGGCATTCATATCGCGTGTCGCATTCCTGTATTGGATAAAGTCGTGGACGCGATTGTAGAAAGATCGGCAGGTCATGAAGAGATCTCTCATGATGTGGATCGGAATACCGGAGATTGCTATGAGAATGAAGAAGAACCCAATGTAGAGTACCGACTTGATGAAATCGGTAGCCAGATCCAGATAGAACATCCACCTGCCCTTCTCTTCCCATCCGGGCACATCTCCGTCGTCGTCGTCTTCGTCTTCTTCTTCCACATTTTGGGATTCTCCATCTTCTCCATCAGCGGTCTCTGCCCGCTGCCGCGCTTGCTGTTCCCTTGCTTCCCTCGCAACCCGTATAGCTTCCTCTCGAGCTTTCTGTTGACGATGTGTGATGAAGAGTTCTACGAGGGAGAACACGTAGCGCAAAATGGTAGATACCGAAGCGATTGTGAGGAGTACGTATTCGAATCCGAACATGATCATGACGCCAGCTTTTGGATTCGAAAGGATCGAGCTGATGCAGTAGTCCATCATAAAAATATCGAAAGCGACTGAGAGGAGCAGGGAGCTCATCAAGCGGGCATGAAAGAGTTTTGGGTTGGCAGGAGGCTGTTGCTCGAGGAATTCCACACGGCCCTCCCCAATCCACTGCCATAGTTTCCCACTCAATAGGCACACAAACATAGCAAAGAACCCTATTCCAATATCGT